TCGGCTGCCACAATACCTTGTATATCGACAATCATTGAGGTGAGATATTGGTTTTGGGTATCCATGAATTGTGCTCTGGACCAAATCCTAACCATTTAACGAAGCACTGGTCCCCTCGTGTTCGCAACACTCGTTCGACTAAATACATGTCCGGATAACTGGTCTTGTTCAGCTCTTCGGTGTAAAACAAACCACGTATTGGATTTCCCTGATAGTCTTCTAGATAGTATGTTGGCGGTACTGTTTGCCTAACCTTAACTACGGTAAACAGTTCGGTGCTCCAGTTTGGTAAGTAACCCTTATCAAACACTGATTTATGTACACTTATCCGCACCTTGTCTCCCACACGGAATTTTACCGGTAAATTATCCGGTATTTGACGCAACTTGAACCGAACCAGGTCTGGGTTTTTCACCGCTTGCACCAGTGTCATACCGATTGTTCTATGTTTACGCACGTTATTGTAGTCGTGCAACAGCGCAGACAACCGATTCACCCATTTGTACGAGCCACGTGCACTAAAGTCACGCCACATTGCGTTTTTCAGCGTGCGGTTAAAACGTTCCACTAGACACGCTTTCATCGTGGAATAAGTAGAGTAATGATTGATTGCGTATTGTGACATGAGTTTTTGAAATTGTTTATTGTAAAATTCTTTACCATTGTTTCCTTTTCCGTTTGCAAAAGCTTAGGATGACGACCATGTTTCAGTATTCCCATCATGGCTGCGGTAACTTCATTGGCCGTTTTACTTTTTAACGGGACGGCCCACGCGTATTTTGGAAATCCATCGACGCACGTTAAAATATAACGATGTCGTCGATCAGGGTATGTGCGCATTTCCACGAGGTCAGCGTGCCATATATCATCGAGACCCTTGATATTTATCCGGGCACGGGTATACGTCCTGCGAGCCTGCCGGTGTAGTTCGTTAGCAATGTTCTTATTCATAACGCCGCTGGTATCTGTTCAATGTAACCGGCTTCCTGCAGCTCTTCCAATATAGAAACGATTTCCGGTGAAACTCCAGTGTTGCCAGCCGACCGGGCTGATATCAATAAACGTAAACGTTCCACGAGCTCGTTGGGGTCGTCCCAGTAAACGTAATCTTTTTTCTTGTTGTTCAATCTCAATTGTAGACCCGCACCGATAATGGATGTGTCACTGATGTTGCTGCTGCTGCTTTCAAACAACGGTAAGGAATTGTTTGGGATACCACCATCACCGTAATCAAACTANCACTGATGTTGCTGCTGCTGCTTTCAAACAACGGTAAGGAATTGTTTGGGTTACCACCATAACCGTTATCAAACAATGGTTTAATGGTGTTTACATACTTTTGACCTCCTTTTTTCAATGTTCCGTCTTTATTTAAATGCACACCGGTTTTGCCGAGAATCGTTTTGTACGCATGCAAATCCGATTCGGAGTAAACTCCAGGGTTTTTCGAAAACAGTAAATCCACAAGACCCATAGTCAGAGGGAATTTTTCATCTAAAACATTAATTGTTCCTCTATTGAGAAAGATATTGTCGGCTTCACCTAATGTCATTGTTCCATCTGGTGATACCTTTGGTCCATACATTTTATCTCTGTTGGGGTTCATTGACCATTGATACATGTACTGATGGAAAAACCCGTCATCGTGTTCCACAGTGTATATATCATCGTTTAAACTCTTGATAGTTTGCTGTAATTGTTCTTGTTGTTGTTGTTGTTTTTGCTGTTGTTGCTGTTGCTGTGACGCAATTTTATCTAATGGTTCAATGATTGGCGCCAACTGACGTTTTACGCGAGTCAACGAATCCGCTTTTCCACGACGCTATTCTGTGTACTTTTTTCGAACATTTTCCCGGGCTTCAGTCAACAGTTTCAGCAATGTTTCCTTATCGGCACTCATATTGTAACAAATGTGTCAAACTTGTATCTGTATCGGCCGTCGTCTCGCGCAAAGTCCAAACAAATCACTGCGAATCCGTACCGATCCTTGTTCCAACACTCTTTGCAAAACTCTTTGAATTCTCCAAATTTCATATCGCAACACACGTATTCATCGTACGCGTGTCGTAGATTAACTTCATCCTGCCGGAACAACACCACCACATTTGTGTTGTCACGTAACATTTGTTTTTGTATGCGCGACAGTGTTTGGGAGAGAAAAAAAACATCAACTTGCCTGTGTCGTCCTCGCGCGAAATAATCACACATTACATTTTGTTTTTCCATGACAACATCGTCGAATATAAAAACCGAATTGGGCAGGATGTTGTCCACCAACGGTACATCGTCGCCGTTTTCATAGGTAAACAACTGCACTCCTTGGACGCCGCGTAAAACATCCACGAGTAGTTGATACTTGCACTGATGCAACGATTTCGAGTAAACGTAAACATTTTCAAATCGAAGTCCGTTGATATCGGTCAATAGAGTAAACATCAAGTTTGTTTTTCCACAATTTGACGGTCCGCAAATCAATGCACGTATTGTATTTGGCAATAGTTTACCGTGTTTACTAGGTGCAATCTCACTACTTTTTTCAAAATTCACGATAGGTAGCGTGAGAGTCTGTTTTTTGAAACGCATCGCACGTCATCGAACAATAACTGTCAATATGAAAATAATGGTTAAACAGAGACAACGTGGAAAACGAGGTGCAGGGATATTGAATACTGTAATCAACAAATTACCATTCGAAGCCCACATTCCAGGTGTGTGTAATTATTCAAAATAATTCCTCGCAAATAGTTTTATCATTATTTTAAATGTTTATCATTTAGGTTATCAATTTGCGGGTCCTGGAACACGGTTAGAAAAGAGATTAAAACGAGGTGATATTGGAGTGAACCCGCTTGATGCTGCTTGCCGCAATCACGATATCATTTATAGTAAATACAAGAATCTCGAAGACCGTCATAAAGCGGACAAGGTGTTGGAACATCAGGCTTGGGAACGAGTGTTGGCCAAAGACGCTAAATTGCCTGAACGAGTCGCAGCTTGGAGTGTGACCAACGCGATGAAATTGAAACGTAAACTCGGTATGGGTTTCAAACGAGTTGTGCATGCGGCCAAACTCGATAAAAATGCCCAACAAATGGATTTACTGAGTGTGGCAAAACAATCGTTGAAGGCGGCACGACGTGTGGTGAGAAAGAAAAAAATTCCACTGCCCCGTACCATAAACGTTCCAAAAACTAAAGGCGGTGTACTACCGCTTATACCTATATTTGCCGGACTGTCGGCGTTGGGAGCTTTAGCCGGCGGTGCTGCAAATGTGGTCAAGATGGCTACCGAACTTAGCCGTAAAGGCAATACAGCGATAAGCATGGGTAAAGGATTTTACTTGCAACCATACAAATCGGGGTCTGGTTTCAAATTGACGACGAGTACGAAAAAGATGATTCGAAAAAATCAGACGAAAAAAACAAAAAACTAATTTCGCAGCTACCCGATCGTGCCTTGTACGATGTTGAAATTGCAAATTTCGGTAGTCGAGCGTTCGACCATAAAGTGTTTCGTGGCTTGTTTTGTCGTGACACATTACCTAAGTCGGGACCGAAAATGACCGAAATGGCTGTAGTGAACTTGGATCTTTCCACTAACCCTGGCACGCATTGGGTAGCTTATAGTAAACGCGGTAAACGTGTTACGTATTTTGACAGTTTTGGTAATTTACCACCACCGTTGGAACTGCAACGATACTTTAAAGGATGTACAATCGTGCACAACTATAGTAGATGTCAAAACTTCGACGAGGTAAATTGTGGTCACTTGTGTTTGGAATTTTTAATCGAACAACAACAACAACATGACAACAACGGTAACGTTAACCGGTGTGGGATCTGAATTGCAATGTACATTCAATCCACCCATCGATGTCGGTGACAAATGTAAAATTGGGCTATTGAGCTTGCATACGTGGAACACTATACCTAATATTGACGAGGATTGTAACAAATTCATTTTCGGCACTGTTGACAAACCAATTATGGTGATAACACTACCGACGGGATCGTACGAATTTGAAGATTTACAGAAACGAATCACAGACATGTACAACGGAGAAGAGTATAAGTACAGTGTGCAACAACAACAAATAGATTTTGATGATCCATTGTTGCCAACGGTTGGTTTACTCAAGGAAAACAGCAGAGAAATCGGTGACAAAAGGTTGGGTGATCGAAACGTTATCTCTTTTACAGCCGACCGCAACACTATGCGAAGCATAATCAAATGCGATCACCCCATAGACTTTACACACCCGCAATCAATCGGTCGTATACTAGGGTTTCGACCTCGTGTATTGGCACCGAAAATGGACCNCCTCGTGTATTGACACCGAAAATGGAACACACGTCGGATTTCCCGTTATCTATAACAAAGGTTACATGCATACGAGTCGACTGCAATATAATTGTTGGTTCGTACCACGGAGGACGTCAATCGCATACATTGCACGAATTCTTTCCAAACGTACCACCGGGCTACCGGATTATCGAGTGTCCCAGACAAGTAGTTTACTATCCGTTAAACACAAACGTATTGAACACGATTCGAATCGCATTGCTCGATCAGGACGGTCAACGTGTCAACCTAAGAGGTGAAAAATTAACAGTGCGTTTACACATCAAACAGGATGGATGAAAGTACGATGACGTTATGGGACCGTATAAAACAGTTTGATTCCTCACAAATTGGATTATTTTTGTGCATACTAGTCACAGTTGTGCAACTATTACTACTCCTTCAAACATCCGTCAACAGCTGTCAGCTGATAAACAGTGACAACAGCAACAACAACAACAACAGTTCAGCCACAATTTATCGTTTGGAAGCACTGGCTCGAGAACTTTATTCAGTCGACGCCCGTGTCTTTATACTGGAAAAACGTGTTGACACTCTTTAAATGCCTCCGAGTTTCAACAGGATTGTAGTGCACCATCATTTGAGTGATGGCATATACTCTACGACAGAGAAACCGGATAATCGTGCGACGCTATCGCAGCAGCAACTGACAAAGAAAAATATTGAATTTTTAAAATCGTTGGGTTGTCGAGTCAATCATGGCCGAGTACTTACACGTGTTGGAAAAATGTCAACAAGACGACAGTGTAAAACGCGAGTACTATCTGGAACATCAGAGTTACAACAACTCGTACGAACACAACGATGAAATCCGTATCGATGTGCGCAACAAGGAGAAATTCACCGTGCCGTGCGAAAGTTATTTGCAAATCAAAGGAAAACTGGAAAAACCACCAGCTGGAACAGCCGGTGAAATAGTCATGGGGCAAAATTTTCTCATGCGCCTATTTGATGAAATCAGATTTGAGGTAAATGGTAAAGAAGTAGACAATATAAAATACGTTGGGATGGCTACAATCNATAAAATACGTTGGTATGGCTACAACCATCAAGGGATATTGTTCATTCACACCCAACGACATTCGACGATTACAACCTGCCGGATGGAAATACGCGCAAATTTTGCACAACAACAACGATTTCGTCGATGGGACTGAATTTGTAGCGCAATGTCCATTATCTATGTGCATGGGATTTTTCGAACGGTATCGGCGCACACTGATAAACTGTACTCAGACTCTCGTGTTGAATAGATCGAGTACCGACAGCACTGTCGTATCATTTGTTCCACAGACAACAACAACAGACGATAAAGCGCAAGTTGCAACATTGATAAAACAAATCAACGTGAAAATATCGAAAATCAAATGGGTAGTAAAGTACTTTGAACCCAGCGTGAAAACTGAACTGGGTCTGATGCGTATTCTGGACAGCAAGAAATGGCTCCCGTTAGAATTTCAACACTGGGACGTTGCCGTTTACCCGTTGGTACCACAGACAACTCATTACACGTGGTCGGTGCGCACCTATTCGAATGTGGAAAAACCTAGATATTTACTTATTGCCATGGGTAATGAGGACGAACACGTTCTCGGAGATTTCAATCACTGTTCATTGAGAAACGTCAAAGCGTATCTGAACGCTGACGAATACCCGTACGAAAACCAAAACGCCGATTTCGACAACAACAAGTATACAACGTTTTATAACTCGTACGCACAATTCCAGACAATGTATTACGGTCGTAAAGACCCCTATCCATTATTGGACTATATAAATTACAAAAAACTTGGACCTATAGTCGTGATTGATTGTTCTAAACAAAACGACACCGTCAAGTCTTCAACGGTTGATCTACGCTTGGATTTCGAATGCTCCAAACAGTTTCCCGATAAAACATCATTGTATTGTGTAATTATTCACGACTGTCAAATGGAATACAACGCATTCACGGGAGAAGTACGAAAACTTTAATGTAAATACAAATTTATTTTTTATTATTGTACAATATACAATATAGAAACAAAAAATATGTATATATAACTACTATAATGTATATATATTTTTTTTTTAATAAAAAACTAGTTGTTTTGTAAACTTGTTATTTTATTTCAATCATCTTCGAATTTGACTGGAAAAGTCACGATCTTTCTTGTCAATTTTCGGTAAAGTATCTATTCCAAGACATGATCTGTTTGTAGCCAATTCCACCAGATTGGAGAAGTAATAAACACCGCTGAAAATTTTTTTTTTAAGTTTAAGTTTTAAGATAAAAAGAATCAAATATTTTTAAACACACTTTCATGTGTTTTCATGTTTTCAATGTTTTAAAACAATCTATACATTGATGAATCGATCAAGTCGTTGATTTTATTGAATTTACACCTTGGTGATTAAAGTCTCAAGGTCCAATAGGCTTTACTGTCGCTGCGGTTCGCATTCGTCGTCTTTTCAATTGTTTCGATTGAATCCAAAAGTTCGTAATATATTCGCTTCACAACTGAGCATGCACATTCATGATTGTCCGAATTTTTTCCCACATCCGATAATTCACAACCTTTGTAATGTAAAAAGTCTCCACCTACACCGTTGACTTTATCGCCTAGACGTTCTGCAAAATATTGTAAATCTCGATAATTTTTCAATAGTTTACTAACTAGTTTGAAAACTCTATCCGTCGGATCGTTTTCAACAAGAAAATTCAATTTATCCGATATATCATTGAAATAATCCATCTTGCGCACACAATAGATTAACAAATACTGAGAACCTATTAGAAGTCAGCATACAATGTTATGCTGCTGCACCCTCCCTCCTCCTTTCCAAAAATCTTTTAGATAATTATTTCGTGATAACGGATGAGGTGTGTACGACAAAGATATTAGAATATTACTAGATATAATAGATAACTAATATATACGTTTTAATTATTATAATTACACCATAGTTAAATATCGTTATTTATAATGGGGTGAAAATTAAAGTGAAATGTTTACACATATATGTCATTAGGATTTAAAACAGATGCCTTTGTAAAAATTATGACCGTCTGCCGTCTCTAATGC